TTTCCCTAAGGTGTCCTCTTGCGATGCTCACTCAAGAGCATCTCGAGATCTTCTCGAGATCCTCACTCAACTGGTGGGTCAGGGAAGCTGGACTGGGGAAGGAGTGCTGCTCCTCTAGGACAAGCTGGCTCAAGGACCGCTCCGGCCTGTGAAACAAGTATCATCGATGGGATCGCTGGAAGGGGAGCTGCTCTCCTTGCCACTCCAGTAAATGCCAGGAAAAGCTTGTTGCATTCCCCAAATGTCTGTTTCTTCTGCGGGGTCCAGAATCTGTGGTGAGCCCAGAGGGGCTCATGTGGAATGACGCTCTGGTCTGGAAGCAGGGTGGCCTGTGTGGCAGGGAATGAAGTGTCTCCACGTGCCCTGGCTAATCCCCGCTCCTCCATGCATGCCAGGGGCCCTTTCAGCATGGTCCTTCAACCTCTGCTCTGTTTGCTCGTGGCCTTTGGCAGGACTACATGTCTGCAGCGCACTTTGGAGCGGCGCTGGCTGATTTCTCTCCCGCTCTGCTGCTCCATTCACGCGATCCCCGCTGTCCCCGCACCGTGTGTGCCTGGGTGAGGTTGCCAGGCACCCTCTGCCTTGTTTGCTTTGCCCTGTGCCCGCAGTCCTCCCCTTGGCATCTGGTGACAGCTCGGCTGCCCCGCAGCGACAAGGCGACGAGCGCCCAGGCGCTCGCGCAGAGCGGGACTGGCTTCATGCGTTACGTTTCACAGTGGAACTGCTAGCCCTGCTCTAATGAGGGTGAAATTAAATTGCCGTTCAAGAACACACAGGGCGTGAGGGTGGCGCTGGGGTTGGAAACCAGCTCCCTCGTCTCCTCGGCTGGCTTTTCCCTCATGTTTCTTTCCTGTGGACCATGTCTCCGTGTGGGTTGTTGCTAGAGGAAGAGGCTGCTATGGTGCTGCTCGCTCTTGGGCCCTCTGGCACTCAGACTCCTGCGCCCACGGGGAGCTCAAGCACGTGGACATGCAGAGGCTTCTGCAGGGGCTTTCCGGGGCAATGAAACACTGCAGTCCCCTCTGCCCGGGCTCTAGGACCAGTGCTGAGGCTCTCTGAGCGCTTCCCTGCCAACAGAAACAGCCCTGTAGACTGTGCTGTGATGAGCACAAAGGAACTTGCTTCTCTTTAAGTCTCTCATGCTCCAGGAGCTGTTGAGATTCATAATGGGTGCATTAAGATCTTTGGGAATGGAAAAAGGACCGGAGCCAGGGTGAAGGAAGCCGGGAGGTGAGTAAAGAAAGAGGTGCTGATGGCGCCTGTGTTAGCAGGTCATCAGCACTAGAGCAGGCCCTGCGGCTCCCCAGAACATCTGCATGGGGCGAACAAGAGCAGCCTAAAATGGAGTCAGCCTGGAGTCTCAAGGCATATGGAGATGATGGTGGGAAGATAAGGAATGGGACAGGAGCCCTCAATCATGGAAACAAGGAGACAAAAGACAGCGACTATATCCTCTGTGTGCACAGAGATGGGGCAAAAGGGAGAGACAAAAGGTCCTAATCACCCATCAGCTCCTAGAGGAAGCCCATCCCAAACGAGCAGTTCTCACCATCTCAAGAGACAACTCCATAGCTCTCCTCTCCTTTCTTCTTTGTCTCTGCCGGTGATCACTGGTTTTCAGATAACATCACCTTCTTTCCATAGCTGCCCCCTGAGCTTTGCTGCAACAGCCATCTCCCAGCCTCAGGTCAGCCCGAGGGCAGACCCATGTCCTGCTGCAGAGCAGGTCGGGTGACCCACCAGGCCCTGGTGACAGCCCTGGACATGGAGAAGAAGCCTCCGAGCAGCCCCAGGTGCCTCGCAACACCTGGCGAAGGACCTGTGCTCCAGGCAGAGCTTCATGTGCAAATGGGGAACAGCCGGCTCGTCATTTTCTCAAGGAAGCAAATGGGTTTCACCTCGATTAGAAATGGTTCCTGCTCGCTGGGGTTGCCGTAGCCTTCCACTTCCACTCCAGGGCTGCTTCCAGGTCCACTTTTTTTTTCCCCCTCTTGGAGGAGCTTGGCACAGGCAACATGTAATTCACCCTGTCTAACTTCAAGCTCCTCAGGAACTAACCTGTAGGGCCTGGCAGGACTGAGATTTACCTACCTAAACATGGGTGTCTGGAGTCCTGCGGTGTCTGCACTGCCTGCCCGCGCTCGCAGACGTGACATGGGACCTGCAGGAGCCTCCCTGCAGGAGACCCTGAGGAAGCGGCAGCGGGAGGCCAGACCGGAGCGCGGGGATGTCCCCGGCTGTCGCGCGCCTCTGCGGGCGCTGTAACGAGCGGTGTCCCCACGGTGTCCCGCACTCGTGCCCTGGCAATTCGGGCACACTGCGGGAGTCCTGAGCTGCTTTGCGCTTGGGAAGCGCCTCCGAAACGCTTGCTGGGACGAGGGAAGGGCGATGCTGCCTTTGTAGTGGTTTGGTGCGAGGCGTTAAACTGGGATGAAGGGATTTTTGAGCTTCTCTGAGCGAAACGCTTCCTCTGGGATGCCAGAACCTTGCCGTTCCTGCAGGGACGAGGGATGCCCCCCTGCCATCCAATATGCAGGGAGCTGCAGTGCAATGGGCTCCGCGGTCACAGCGCGCTTTGCACGAGCCGTTTGCGTCCTTGGCACAGCGAGCAGCTCTGCAGCGCCCAGGCAGAGCCTGCTAATGGGTAGCAGGGCCGAGTTTGGCTGTGGAGCTTGAATGCAGCGAGTAACTCAGCCGGTCCCACTGCCTGTAAGGGTAGGTAATAGCACAGCAGTCCCAGGCTTTGTGCGCTTGGCGGCTCTGCTTGCTCGGCCCGGGGCCTGCGCTGCTTCGTGGGCGGCTCTTACCCCGTGCACGAGCATCACAACCAACCCATCTCCTCTGACCTGGCAAATGGGGCAGAAACACTCTCCATGGGCACCAGTGTTGTGATGGGCCAGCGTCACTCTGGAGGAGCCTGAAATCAGGGCTCCTCGTAAGGGGTGCTGGCTCCTTCCATCCAGGTCGCCTTCCCAAGGGTCAGCCTGCTGCCGCTTACATTTTTCCCCCCTAGGGATCCTACCATTGCCAATGGCGTTTGCTGAGGGCCCACCCTCAACAAGGTGAGTTGACACCTGCTTCCCGGAGCCCTTGGAAGGTCCCCAGGCTGCTCCCGCTGTTTCCTTCCTTCTCCTGATGGCTACAAGGCACCTTCTCTCTGCAAGGCTGTGGCGTTCGCTCCAGTCCATTCTGACCCCCGCGCCGTCAGGATCAGTGAGAGAGGAGCTCTTCAAAGCCCTGCTGGGGGACTCACTCCTGGGGACGAGGCTGGGAGGAAGGAAACTCCCGGAGAGATCACATACGGACACAGTCCGAGCATAGACTGAGCACCTAGATAGTTTTGCCTAGGCCCTTGAGCCTTTCCCATGGGCTGTGCTGCCAGGGACTTGGTGGCCACCGTGGTCAGCTCTGAGGGCCACTGCACCGCTAAGCGCACAGGCCTCAATGGCAGTTTTTGCTCGCGGCAAAGGCGTCCCTCGGAGACGGAGGGAGTCGGGCGGTGCCGATGGGCACGCGGGCCCAGAAGGGATGAGCCGGCAGGATCGGCGCTGCTCTGCGCCCGGGCACGGAGCAGCCCGCGGAGAGGGCGGTTTCTGCCGGGGACGGTGACGTGTGCGGACGGAGACGGGCCGCCCTCCTGCACGTGGCTGCAGGCAGGACGCAGGCCGTGAGGAAACGCGGCAGCTCCTGCCTCTTGCCGCCGTTCAGGGTGGCCCCATGGCCTCTCCAGGGTCCCCAACAAGGAGGGAGAGGAGGAGCGAGCGACTCCCGAGTCTTGGCCAGTGCTACAGGCCAGTCCATTAAATAAAGGAGGATTCATAGGTGTCACCTGAGGTGCTTGGGCTGATCTTAACATCTGCTTTCCTGAGGCCCCTACAAAAGCACCGGAGCTTTTCCCAAGTTGCTCCTGGGTTTTCTGCAGCCCCGAGTTGCTTGCTAAAGCCGCACTGCTGGGGACGGCGGGGTCTCCGTGTGCCTGGGGATGGCTGAAAGAGCGAATTCTTGATTCATTCACAGACAGAAAGTCTTTTGAGCTCTAGCAAGGAAAAGGTAGGAAATACATGTATACATATATATATATATTTTCTCTCACCGTGTTATTCCTATCTTCAAATATTTTCAGATATTTGAGATATGCTAATTTTGCAAAGACACCGTGCTTGTGTGCTGTATAAAAAACAGCTGGAGATGGATCTCCACAAGGTGCCTGCTCAGCCAGCCTGTTTTCTGTGGTTCGTTTAGATTTTGCAATGACCTTTCTCAAGAAAAGGCCCTCCGTTGTGCTCGGATGCACAGGGCTGCAGGGATGTCCTTTTTTTTCCAGCTCTAATGGCGTGAAGCAGTGGCGAGGCGAGTTTGGACAATCTTTTGCGGAGAGATGAGCACTGATAGGTGTTGGGGGTGAGAAACTCCAATGCATGGAAGGACACGCTTCCCCTCCTGCCCTTTTCTTGGGAATGGGCTGGAAATGTGTGGAGTGGACTGCTTGGTGGCCAGTAGTACAAGCATGTTGGGTCTTGGTATCCCTGAGGGTCTGTCTATGATGGCCACTGTCACCACTGGTGTCCCTACAGAGGGAGGGAAGCGTCTTGAGGGGGTGAGTCCCATTCTCGGCGAATTTAGCCTCAACTTCTGGCTCGGGTTGGGTGGTTCCTCCTGCAGCTGAGTGAAAGCGGCAGTGCCTCCTCCGAGGAGCCTGGTGAAATCCCGGCGTCCTGGCCTTCCCAGGAGCTCTGTCTCGGCTCTATGGAGAGCAGCTCGGACAAGTCTCAGAATCCGCCCCAGCCCAAGGCCCCTCTGCCGCTCGGGGCAAGGGAATGTGCAGGACGCCTGTCCCTGCTCCCGGGCGCTCGTGCTAGTTGCGGGAGCAGCAGCAGCACTGGCTTTTTTTCCCTCGGGAATTTCGCAAACGCTGGCTCGGGGCCCTGCACCCTGCCCTCCCCGGCAGCGCACGAGCACCGGGCGGGCGGGGACCCAGCGAAACTCTGCGTTTCGCTCCTGTAAACGCGCACGGAAGAGGCATTTTTGGAGGCAAACGAGCTATGTGCATCCAAAAAAAAGGCACCAGAACCTCCCCGCCAAGGTGTCAGAACTCCAGCTAGCTCGTTAGCAGTCTGCTTAATGACTTCAGGGGCTGGATAATTAAAAAGCATTTGTCTCCCATGGCAGGCGCTGGCTGGGAAAGCAAAAGCCGTGAATGGGGAAGGAGTCATTGGGCAGTTTTCAACTCCACGGGTTTCTGCAGCAGCGTTTAGGGCAGTTTTACGGCCTTTTGGGGCGTGTAGCTCATGGCAACACGGGAATGTTGTGGATAGCAACTAGGGTTTGCACGAGGGTAGGCTGAGCTCAGAAACATCCTATTTTTAAACAGGATTTAGAAATAGGGGGAGGGAAAAAAAATGACACTGGCTTTGACTCCCTATATGGAAGATAACGAGGTCCTGGCTCGGGTGCAAGTCTGTCTGATGACTTCAGGGGAAAATTCCACGTCTGGCAGTGCTGCAAACGAGCCCAAACCCTGCTGATCGTCCCCAAACCCGCACTGGGGGCTCGATACCTTGTGTGCTTGGCAGCCTTCCTCCGCCAGCCGGCTCCTTGTCCCGGACTTCCCTCCGCCCAGCTCCGCTCCTGGGTTTTGTTCAGCCTGCAGGAGCTGCCGTTGACACAGGCGGATAGCTGGAGCCGCACTGGTGATTTCTGCCATTTCCCAAGCCCTCGGTCTTCCCGATGCTCCCTCCATCCTGAAATCCTTGGCAGGTCTCCTCCCGTGTTTTCAGGTGCTGCCTCTGCCGCACGACATCCCTTCAGGGGCATCTTCCCATGAGCCAGTGAATGAGGGACTGGGAATGGGGGCTGTGCTCTGCCTAGGTCTTCTTGGGAGAAACTGAGGAAATTTGGAGGTTATGTCAGGGCGGGAGCCAGGTGCCCTGTGAGGTCTTGGTTGCCTTTGGTTTAAGGGTTAAGAGCTGAAGCAAGTGGATTTGCAGCAGCTGGGGACAGAGCGACTGCTCTGGGCAGAGAGAAGGTCCATGACAATGACCATGGGTTAGAAATGATGGGTTGGAAGCGAGCAAGCTCCTTTCCCCAACCCTGTGGCCCAAGTCCCCTGGGAGGGTGAGGACGCTGTGGCCTGGCTCAGCTGCCTGGGGTGGAAAAAATGTGCATCTGGATATGGGAATTTCCTATTCCTGCAGCCCAAAATGGAGCTTGATTCCAAAACTGGGAGCTTTCTCCCTTTCTCAGGCCTTCCTTGCCTCTTAAGGTAAATTCACACACTGCAAAGGTGGGGAGGCATTTGCTTGTCCCAAGGAAAATGTCGAGTTCTCACTTTTTCTCCCTACAAGTCAGCATGAGAGAGGAAGCCAACGCAAATCCAGGCTCGGGGGATGGTTTGGTTTGGGTCCCTCCAGATGTTTCACTGTACAGGTGACCAAACAATGGATTTTTAGTTGGTAAACTTTCTGGCTTTTCCTCTTAACGAAGCCATCGCTTGTCCCACGTTTTTGTTTTGGACAGCTTGGGCTTATGCGGCTTCGTGTTGTTGCGTGGGCGAGCGCTTGTGCCTCCTGCAGTCCCAGGAGCGTCAGCGGAGCTGAAGGAAGACGGGAGCACCCTCCTCCTGGCCCCCGTCCCAGCACCAGGATGGCTCTCTGGAGACCCAGGATGAAGGCCGTGAACCCGCAGAGCTCAGGCGCGCTCATCTTCCTCATCCTCTCCTCGGGTCAATCCGTTGGGGGCCGAGCTGCTTGCTGTGGGGGCGAGAAACATGTCCAACCTCACCTTGAGGTATCCCTCAGGGTAACACGGTGTCCTTCGTGCTGGAAAACTCCATCGGAGTGTCCCGCTGATCTTTTTTTTTGGTGCTAGGACACCTCCAGTTGCCTTTTTTTGGCACTGGAGGGACAAGTCGCTCTATGGCTCCCTGTTGGGCACCTGGGGTTGGCAAGGCAGGTCCCTAGCGCACAGTATCCCAGCCTGTGATGTGTCCCAGCTGTGACCTGCAGGTAACATCCCGCTGATGTCCCTCCACGATGCTCTCGTGCTCCGTTGCTCCCTTCCTCAGGCCAATCCCGGCACAAAGAGCCAGGCCCCAGCGCACGTGAGGCCACGTTTCTCACATCCTGCTCCGACCGCGTGGACGGCGGGAGCGTCCGGACACCTGGGTCACACCCAGCTGTGAGGATCCCCGGGATAAACCCGGGGCATGGAGCCGCATCCCTACAGTGGTGACAGTGACGTGACGGGCTCCTCTACCAGCAGCAGGTTCCGAGAGGAAAATGGAGCAAGGGAAGGGTGCTTGAAAGGGGGACGGACGCCTTCTGTGGGCATGGCCAGGTTTCCTGCAGAAGAGCATGAGAACATGGGATATGTTGGCTGAGAGCCCAAGCAGGAGACGGTGGGTGACATCCCTGCTCCTTCCTTCCTGCAGCCTGGTAGAGGCAACCTCAGCTTCTGTCTGCCTGGGAGAGGACTTGTCCCTGTTTTCGCCACAAGTCGTACCCCGTCCTGGCGGCTTTAAGTGCTCCGTTTCTTCCCAGGTGTGCGCACGGTCAGTGCCAAGCTGTACCGGGAGCACCCAGAGCTGCCCTCTCCCCCTCCAGCTTCCCCTCTGCCAGGGGACAGGCTGGAGTGACCTTCACGCTCCCATTCCCTCCTCCTGTCGTGCAGAGGCAGTGAACAGCACCGTGCGGTCGCTGCGGCAGGGTAAACAAGGGACGTGGGTGGAGTGATGAGAGCGTCCGGGACAGACGGCGGAGGTTGAACCTGCCCTTGAAAGCAGGCAGCGTTCGCAGCCTCCGGGCGATAAGGCGGCGGGTGGAGCGCTGCTCTAAGTCACGCTGCAGGCCTTGAGTATTGGCTGCAGGCTGCGTTAGAAAGCCGGGCGCTGCCCGCTCTCTGCTGCCCAACGAATGGACTTTGACTCGGGCGCAAACTGCACTTGAATGCAATGGGACAGGCGCGGCGCCAAGGTTTCCTCTGCGCTCCAGGCTGCTCTACCCAAACCCCATGGTCACCTTGAGGACAAGATGCTCTCTCCTTAGCCACTTCTTTCCTGGGAATTCCTCCTGGCATTACCCATCCAGATTTATTATGATGGCTCCGAAACAAGTGTGAGACCTGCAGTGGAGATGGGGAACTAGGTACCAAAAGGTCTTTGCAGATCAATGGCACGTAATGCAAAACCATTTGGCAGACCACTTCCTTGCTGCTCAACTTGGAGAACTGGGTCCTAAATTTCCCTTCAGCCTGAGCCATCGGAGTGCCGGGCTCTGCAATCCAAGCTTGTCATTCCTTATGCCAAATCACTTGTATTCAAGCTTTATTCCAGTCCTGCTAGGGTGTGGGTTTCCTTTTGGCTACGTCTTCAGGTCCATGGTCTGCACATGTTGCACATGCCTTGTGCCCCAACTGCCCCTGTTTTTGTGCCGTCGATGCCGAGGTGGTTTTGCAGGAGGAGTCCTGTTTTCCAGCAAGCTGCAGAGAACCCTGAGAGCCGCAGTGGAGAATGCAGAAACTGTCTCCAAATCTGCTGAATAGGGAAATGCCATCCCAGCTGTTCAGGAAAGGGAAACAATAAAGACCAGGAGAAGACATTGGAAGCGCCTTCGAAGCACCACAGTGCCAGATAAAAGCAGCCCAGAAAGGCGTCAGGGATCTAATTAGAGCCTGC